TGTGCAGAGAGTGCACATCTCCCTCTGTCCCTATTGGAGCCCACCTGCCTGAAAACACACACAGCTCCTACTCACTCCAAGATCTCCAGGCTGCTGCAGCTCCTCAGGGGTTCCAGGAGCTTGTCCAGCTGCTGGGGCTGGATGCCGCAGTTTGTCAGCCTGAGGAAGTATTTTTGCACAGTCAACAATATTACAAATAATTCCTCTTGTTCAGAATTACACCTCTTCTTTCTTTTATCATTCACACTTTTTCTCTGACATTCCAATTGGCAGAAATGCTAGAATCCGAAAACAAATACAAAAAAAACTTGAAAGAAATACCTGAATGTCTTAGATATCCGATTTTCCTCTGTGGCATGGGGCTGGGTGACATCATCCCTAAAAAGACATAAATAAATTATATTTAGAAATAGTCTGTTATGTCCCAAGCACAATTGTATCTCATTTCTGCACCTAATTCAATCAGCAGTGTAAATCATGACATAAATCAAAGCTCTGCATTTCTCTAATGAAATGACAAACTGCCATATATCCTAAACCTTAGTGCTACAGCACTTTGAAACATCAGGAGGAATTCCCCCAATACCTGCAGTGCATCAACAGAGGAAGGCATTGCTCACCCAGGAACTTGTTCTGGTCCCTGTAGCTCTCCCGCAAACCTTACGATCACCTTGCTGGGTGTCTGGAGGCTGTGTGACCAACAGCGTTAGTTAATGAGGGAGTCTGCTGGGCAAGCTGTGTGTAAGAGCTCCCTCTCACTCAGACAGAATGGGTCTTTCTTACATAAAAACGGTTAAAAACCACAACAGACCTGACATGACGAGAGCAAAGGCCCACTTTCGTTTTGCATTTTAGCACTTTTTGCATTTCGTTTTGCAGTCCTGCTGCTCAGGCTTGAAGCTGCCAAGCATAACGGAAGCTACACACCAGCAGGATGCTTAGCAACACACATGCTGTCGTTGAAAAGGCTTCCTGTAAAAAACATTCCATCACAGACACGCTTTAGTGATGTCATCTAGGAAGGGCTGCTGTCTGGGATTGACTGCAGAGCTCATTCAGTCGCTCACTGACACTGAAGCCGTAAATTCCAGACCCCAGAGCAGCAGGAAGAACAACACATTGCAAGGCCCTGCATTAAAAACTTGGATTCTGTTCTGGAGGAAAAACATTTCTGAAGTTGTTTTTTTCCATCATCTCAGGATCCCCTAGTCCAGGCACGCGAGGAAAGATCTGTTCTCGATACCTGACGTCCACAAGGACCACCCTGGGGCACAGCGCCAGCGAGCGGGACAGATAGCCTATCCCATCCACAGAGATGCAGTTGTTGCAGAGGCTGAAAAGGCAGAAGGAGCCCATTAACGCCCGAAACGCTGCATTAACACAAGCTGTGTGAACTGTCTACATTTAAAAGCACAGGTGCCACAACAACCGACTTCACTGACTTCTCCGCCCACCCTTACGAGGAACGTCCAGGGCAAATTGCTGCAGCTTTTGTGCAAGTGCACCTCTCTGGCTTTACTGAACTTTTACCACAATCTCACCAGACTCTACTGCACTTCTCTGTGCTCTTGCCTTGGATTGCCACCACTACTTTTCAAAACCACCTCTTATCAGCCAAGTACAGGGAGTGAGATAAGTGCGCTGGAAGATCTTCATTTATCAGCACTCTTGTAAAAAGCAGCGTGTTCTAGATTGCAGAATTACTCTGCATCAAGTGTCTGTGCATGAAAAAGTCCCTGGACCCGAAGAGTCGCAATAAAAAAAGGTGTTGTACTGACTCACAAGGATTTTCACAACTGACTCTCAGGGGATTTTTGCTCTGTTGTCTAACTCACGTGATCTGTGTAGAAACAATAAGCTGAGGCAGGAAGTCGCACAGCGTCATGAACCCTTCGTCTTGCAGTCCGTTCCCAGATAGCCTGCAAACGCAGAGCAAAGAGGCTTACCAGACACGACCACTGGGTGCCCTGAATACGACAGCTCAGCCGCATCGATTTCTGCCCGACAACGCAATGTACCACACAGACAGCAAGCGAGGTTCAGAGATTCATCTCACACAGAGATGGACCTAAAGAACACTGAGTGTCTGCAGGGATGAGTAAAGGACTGAATTTCAGAGCTTGATTAAGAAATGCGTTCATGCATGTTTACATCACTGTTAGATCTTAGCTTCCATCAGCCAGTTCTCCTGTGAAAGAGTTTCTCCTTAGAAAGATAGAGTGCACTTACTCAATTTCAGAAAGCCCTGGGCATCTGGTCAGGATTTCACACAGTATTTTCAGCTGGTCGGCTGTCATGCTGTAGTTCAGAAGGCTTGGAGGCAAAAACCAAAAAGAAGAGAAAAAATGAAGAAAAGGAAAGAGAAAAAGAAATGAAGAAAGGAAAGGGCAGGGAAACTGGGACATATATCTCTGGTCCTCAGTCCTACTCTCTCCACCTGGGCCTTAACCTCCAGTACATATCAATGTATGTAATCCCCTTTGCTTCTTTACATTTTTTGCTCTCAGGTCTTGCTTTCAAAATTACACTTTTCCAACTACTTTGTGTCTATTAATACCACTGTTCAGAATTTTAGCCTCAGACACACCAACCGAGGAGTGAGAGCAGACTAGACATCTGTTACAAACCCTGTACATTTATTAAGAGCTGAAAGAAAAAGAAAGTCAATATCCCATTGCCTGCGGTTACAATCTGAGCTGAAGCACAACAAACCAGAAGATCCAGTGTTCCCCCAGCACTGGGATTGAAGAAGGCTGTGGCCGTGAGAGCAGTACTCACTCCTCCCTGCCCGAACCCAGGCCTGAACCTCACCTGAGTGAACGACTGGCGCGACAGAGACCGACGTCTTTCCTGTCCACGGACCTTCAGGGGAGCAAGACAGAACAGAGAGAGATGGGCACAATCAGCACATGGAGAGTCGGAGAGGTGCTCGGTGGGGAGGGACACCTGGTACCCGGTGGCCCTGGCATGCCCAGGTGTGTGATTTGTAAAAGCCATACCTCTCTGCGCCTGCAAGCCCCACCGATCCACTGGAAAAGAGGACTTCTGCCTCCTTCGCTCCACTACGAAAAACGACAGAGAAATTACCCGGCCCTAGTGCAGGTACTCACAATACTCATAATATTCACTGTATTCCTGTCTGACTGGGGCTCTCCTCAGACATGACAAGAGTCTGTGCCGATTTTGGAGCGCAGCTCTCAGGTGGAGCAGCCAAAAATTAGAAAGGGAACCCTGTGCTGATTTGAGTTTGTGGCCAGTCGTCTTGTTTATGTTGGACTCTGTTTCTCTCTAGTTCTGCTTTTCCTCGGTGAGTGACTTCTGCAATGTTGCTGGCTTACAGTGCACTGCACACACAGTAAGTAGGAAACAGTTTACAAAATTCCTAAACACCAACCCACAAGTGCGTAGCCAAAACAACACTTACTTGACACGTATTTCTTCAATGTTTAAACACGAGCACATTGATTTCACTAGTATGAAGATCCCATCCAGTGTATAGGCATTGTTGCTTAAACTGCAAAAGAACAGTCATTATGTTTCAACTTCACCCTTAACATTTGCCCACAGTAAACATCGCCATTTCCCAGAAACCCGGTACTCTTCATTTTTAAACATGTTTTGGCAAAACTGGAGCTATGTCCTTTTTTCATAATCACCATCAATAAGCATGATTCTGATATATGAAGAGTATATATAATTTAATGGCATATTTGCTTTATTATTTCAAGTAAATCTATTAACAAAAACATAAGAGGAGGGAATTGCTCACATCACTCTCCTGAGGGATTTGAACTTTGGGAAAATGTTCGCGATTTCTTCCAGACCCTTGTCAGTCAGGACATTTTCACTGAAACTAAAAGAAAAAATTTGTGTAAACAAATTATTGTCACCACCCAGTTCAAAAAGTTTAAACATTTGCGTGTGAGAGTTTAATCAAAAAGAATAGAATAAAAATAAGATAAAAAACGATTTTAATTATTCTTGCATTACAGTGCATTTTGATTTAGAAGCAAAGGTGGACACTTGTCTTTTGATGCTGGGTGAAAATTAGCATCACTTGGACAAGAGAAGGGAGGACAGTTCTGCAGGTCATTACAAGAGCAGGGTCATACTTCAGCTCCATCAGGCGCAGACAGCTGGGCAGCACTGCGGCCAGCTTCAGGGTCCCCACCTCGGTGATGTTCCCGCTGACGAACCTACAAGCAGGTCACAGGCCGTTATGAACACAGCTGACATTTTATTCAAATTGCCTGATCATATCAGCCATATCACCCTGCAACTCACAACTGGCAACCCCCTGAAGCTAAGCAGGTGTGAGCCTGGTCAGTACCTGGATGGGAGACTCCTGGGAAAAACTAAGGCTGCTGTTGGAAGAGGTGTTAGTGGGGCCAGCAGGGGGCGCTCACCCTGTAGTCTGGGTGGGTCCTAATGCCCCAGTATAGTGACGGGGACACTATACTGTAAACAGGCGGCGTTCTGTGGATGAGACGTAAAACTGAGGTCCTGATTCTCTGTGGTCATTAAAAATCCCAGGGCGTTTCTCGAAAAGAGTAGGGGTGTACCCCAGCGTCATGGCCAAATTTCCCATTGGCCCTTACCAATCATGGCCTCCTAATAATCCCCATCTATGAATTGGCTTCATTACTCTGCTCTCCTCCCCACTGATAGCTGATGTGTGGTGAGCGTTCTGGCTGCTGTCGCATCATCCAAGTGGGGCTGCACACTGGTGGTGGTGGAAGGGATCGCCATTACCTGTAAAGTGCCCTGAGTGGAGTCTCCAGAAAAGCGCCATATAAGTGTAAGCAATTATTATTATTATTATATGAATAACAAAACTGAAACCTGATGCATGTTCTTGTTTTCTATACTTCTTCCTGTTAAGGTAGGAATTATTTCTATTTAGTTCACTTGAAAAGATATAACTCTCCTGCTCCTCCTTTTATATGCCTGCATATATCAGTGAATCTCTAGCTGATGCATTGCCCTACAGCAGCCTATGGACTCTAAATGGTGAACTGTAGCACCGATTAATGCTGCAGAGTCAGTGACAGCAGAATCTGAGTTTCCTGTCCCACCAGAAGCACAAGGATCCTCTGTAACCCACTCAGGCTCAAGCACAGTGAGGCAGTGGCACAGCCCAGATTTGAATCAGGACCTTCTTGACAACAAGCCCTTTAACTGAACTAGTCAACCACCTAGCCTCCTTATAAGCATTTCTGAAAGCTGTCGTGTCAAAGTGCTGCTCCTCTCCTCCCACACTTACTCCAGTTTCCTCAGAGACGTAAGGCTCGGGAGAATTCCTGACAAGGCTTCGGCAAATCTGTCGTCGTATTTTCGGCTCCGAAACCTAAAAAGATTATTGGGAAGATAAAGATCAAGCTGCCCATACCATATGTGTGTGCGAATAGATATACACACAGGCAGAAACACACACTTTCAGCACACTGTCCCAGTGTTTAGCTTTGACAGCTAAATTACAAAATTACTTATCAAAGCAAAAAAAAATATTTCAGACTGCAGAAACTCCCAGCTGAGCTCCATAGTTAAATATAATCTCAAACAAGGCTGGAGGGCTGTATTGTTTCTGTGTAGATACTTTTACTAAAGACTATTCGACATGCACCTCGTGGTTTCAGGCTCCAGTCATCTTGGAGAGATTCTGTCCAGATGGCTTTCTATGAAAATGAACTTCTTTCTCCCCAGCAGAGAGTGGCTGTGTCCTTTCGCGGACCAGGTTTTTAAAAATGGCACCAAATCTTAACAAGGTAGCTTTTAAAGCCTGTTACGAGAGAGAACTGCACTTACATGAGCGAGTCTATGGCAGTACAGCTGGTCAGAACATCCAGGCAATCCGGCTCCATGGAGCATCCAGCAATGTCCAGGCAGATGGGTCTCCCGGCCTCCTTGATAACAAAGGCCAGCGCGACCATGTCCACAGGGGCGAGCCGGAAGTTCCTCAGCTCGTATCTGTCTCGTGCCCCCACGGCCCTGGCCAGCTCCCTGTCCTGGCTCTCGAACGTGCAGCGGCACAGCTCGATGAGCTTGGGCCCCGTCAGGCTGCTGGCCGCCAGGGACCTGAGGATCTTCACGATGGCTTCCTGTCTCTTCCGGACCTGCAGTGTGCCACGCCTGGACATCTGCCCCAGGAAGGAGGTGCACTCCCTGGAGGCCAGCCCGGACACGTACAGGTGGAAGGTGTCTGTGAACACCGTCTTGGGGTCGGCCTTGGTGGTCCACCTGGACTTGAGGTTGAACTTCTTCTTCAGCTGGGCCTCCTGGACGCTGTCGCTGGTCATCAGGTGCAGGGCAGCGAAAAACTCCTGGATGGTCAGGTGGATGAAGGCACAGCCCATCCCTCGGGATCCGTCCTCCTTCTTGACCTCGAACTGGGTCAGGAGCCCGGCCCGGAACGCAAACTGCACCGTGTCTTCAGAGTCTTTCTGGGCGTAAAACACGATGTTACTGTCCTCCAGCCCCGTCATGGCCAGCTGGCTCAGGGCCTCGATCTTGGTCCGGTACTGCTGCAGCAGTGGCGACGACGGGTCCCCGGAGCTACAGCCGGCCTGCATCTTGCTGAGGAAAGCGCAGAGGATCTGGATGTAGAACTGGGTCATGGTGTGAGGTAGCTTGGGCAGGCCGGGCCCCTTCTCCAGCAGGAACTCCAGGCAGACGCAGCTGATGAAGCACAGGGCCGGCACGCAGCACATGTTGCGAATGTTCCTGTTGCTCAGGAGGCTGCCCACGGCCTGGTCCCTGAGGGGGCTGTGCTCGAAATACCTCCTGGCGTACTCCTCCACCCTGCGATAGTCGAACCCCAGCACCTCTCCCACCTCGTCCACCGCACGGAGCGGCAGGTCCGGCACGTCCTTGGGTCTGCAGGTCACCAGCAGCGTGCAGCCTCGCAGCAGGCGCCCGCAGTACAGGCTGGAGAAGAGCTCGGCCACAGGCAATGGCTCCTCGGGGCGCAGGCCCCGCCCCGGGCCCGGCGCCGCGAACCTGCAGCGGAACTCGTCGTAGCCGTCGAAGATGACGCACACCCGCTGGGGCCTGGCCAGGACGGAGGCCAGGACGGCGTCTCCCGCCCCCTCCTCCGGCGGCAGGAAGAAGTCGAACAGCAGCTGCCGGAGCGACAGCGGCCTCCGGATGAGATTGAGCTGCCGGAACTCGAACAGGAAGAGGAACTGGAACGGGGCCAGCGCCCCCCGCGCCCAGCGGCGAGCGAGGTCGCGGACCAGCCGCGTCTTGCCTGTCCCAGCTGCGCCCCGCAGGACGGTGACCCGCGATGCGGCGGTGGCGGGGGGCTTCAGCAGGTCCGCTATGTCCACGTAGTCCACGCTGTCCTCCGGGTCCTGGGGCGCCGGCACGTCCCCCCACGTGCGGTCCGCTCTGTCCCTCAGCTTCGCCGAGTTCTTTTGGACCACGATCAGGGGCGACTCCTCCAGGCCCAGGGAATGGGGGATTCCCTGAGAGGCTCTCCCGTCCAGGAGCAGCAGCTTCTTCATGGCAGCTTCATAACTCTCTGCAAAGTCTGTGAAAAAATCAAAACACCTGTGGTGAGCTGTGCCTCCAGCGGGACAAGTGTTTAATTCGAGTTCTGGGACGAATCCGGCCGACATACAGGTTGCACGAGCTGGTTGCAGCGCGGTGACGGCACCCCCCTCTACTCTGACCCTGCGCACAACTGGGATGTCGGCCGGCCGGGCCGAGGAAGGTCTTCTTTAGCTCAGCCGGCAATACCCCAGTTGAGCGACGCTGGAGACCCGGGTTTGAGGCCGCGAGGTGAGGGATGAACTGGGGCGGGAGCGGCGAGGGCACAAGCCCAAGAACTTGAATTCGCTCTAGTTCTGTACAAACAAACCCTTAACAAGTGGCCCTCTCTGATTATGGAGAAGTGCACCTTTTCTTGTGGGACAAAACTGCAGTTGACGCTAAATTAGCGGTGGGACCTCACCACAGGTCCCTGGAAGCTCCGCACGTGCCCTGACAGCTAACACTACAACACAGGAAGCAGCATCGGCTGCAGCTGGCAAAGATCACTTGACCCAGAAGGGAGTTTTCCTGTTTCTCCTCTGTGCTCCCCCTCTGACACCAGCGGAGGCGCTCGTGGCCAGTGCTGGCTCCAGTGTGCTTGTTCGTGGCAGCAGGACCGGCCCCCAGCACAGGCTGGAAACACAGGGGCTGAGGCCAGTCCAGGGTGCTGTGCTGTCCGGCCGGCTGGGTCTGGTGTCTGCTGCTTACCGACACAAGGCCGTTTCCCCTGGCTGAGCGGTGCTGGCGGGAGATCTGCTGCTGCGCGGCGCCTCTGGCTGTCTGATGGCGACAGGAAAACAGACATCACCGCCATGCCAACAACAAGGACGAGCTGGCACTGCCCGGAGAGGCCTGGTCACGTTAAAGCACCCATTTCCCAACACCCGGGACAATTTCACTGCGATCCGTTCAGCGGCTCGCTCGTTAAACTGTGTCATTTAAAGATCATGTTGGACCATTTAACACTTAGAAACTCTTCTTCTTTTCCCTCGGGACATAAAAACCAAATGGGAAATTTCCGTTTCAGTTTAACTCTGGTCCCTGAGGTTTATGCTGTTTTTCATGTTGACCATTGTAGAGATAAACACTTAAAAAAGACCCGTTTAATATGATGGTGACTATTGGACGGGTATTTACACATTTAGCGCTGATCTTGGAACTGAAGCGTGTCGCAGGCTGTTCCTGTGTGTGAAGAGGGTTTGTTTCCTGTCTTGGCTGGGGGTGTTGATGAAAAAGTCCTCCAGACGCCCCAGCGCGGGGGGGAATGCAGTTGCCATGGCGCGTTGTTAGGAAATAGGCTTTGGGTAACACTTGATCACCTGACAAACGGGCTCTGCCGCACACGCCAGACTCCGGGATGGGAAACAGCGCGGCGCTGCCGCCTGCCTCCCGCAGCTCGCTGTCTGCTGGGGAGCGAAAACCGCGGCACCCGCCTTCACAGTGAAACCGACTGTGAGCCTCGAACTGCGCAAGTCAGGCGACAAGCAGGTGCAGAGAAGAGCTTCAGAAAGCTTCGTGTCGATAAAGGGGTGTGAACTCCGTGCGCCATTGAAAAAGAATAAGAGCGGGAGATTACCTGGGTTGTGTGGAGCAGGGCTGATCTCGTTTCTTTGCTCGTTTTCACTGGGATGTTCAGAGACTGCAACACAGCAGTAAAAAAGGCAAACCGGCTGTTAGGATATCTTGTTCGGAGGGCCGACACAGCTCGGTCCCGTGTAGAAATCAAATCAATGGAAAGTCAGTTTAAATTGTCCAATTCATTAAGACCTCATTGAGAATGTTGTGGAAAAAAGTGTATTTGCTGCATTACACACACAAAAAGAAAATGGCATCTTAAAATGTTATGCCCCCCCTGCAGAAAACATGGGTCCCAGTTTCCCCGTGGGATCAGGGCGCAGCGCTTACAGTCTCCGGCCGCGGACATCAGGCGCGTGTCCAGCTGCATGGGCAGGTCGGTGCACAGCAGGCACACGGCATGGAAGAGCCGGCGGCACGCGGCGCCGCCCTTCCCCTCGAACAGCTCCACCAGCCGTGAGACCCGCTGCCCGCGGTCGGCCAGGCGGCGCAGCTCCTCCTGCTCGTCGCGCCCCAGCAGGCCGCTGACCTGCGCCAGCACGTCCTCGGGCTGCCCGACCAGCACCTCCACCAGCTGCGGGCCCACCTGCGCCAGCTCCGCCGCCGCGTCCGCCGCGCCTACCTCCTCCATCGCCGCGGCCCTGCCGGACACACACGCGTCGAGGGAAGAGAGGGAATCGTTTCAGAAGGGACTTTGAAGGGGTAGCACATAGTTAATCATTCGGCTATACACTGACGGGACCCATCTGATTCGCCAAATGCGATTTGTTCCGAAGTTTGTGCACTGTGTGTGGAAACTAGGATGAATGAGACCCACTTACACTTACTGTTTAAAGCACGGCCAGTGCAGAACTGCCTTTAACTTGCTGTTGCGTTCTGCTCCTTCACCTTGTGGCCGCGGGGCTAGAGATAGCCTAAACATCTTCAGGGCTGCTCTCCGAGCGAGCTCAATTCGGTTGATTGTCATACGCACAAGTGCAATGAAATGCTTATTTGCATGTGCGCTCCAATGCAAAGACATTAAGGAAACACCAAAAAGTTAAATAATATAAAACTTTAAAAAATGACAGACAAGAAGTGTGAGAAAAAACGTCAGTGGTAGCCGGCAGTAGGCTCACAATATGGAGTGTTTCTCGCGCTGCTTGTATAAATTGTATGTTAACATGTTGCTGCTGCTATTCTGTGTTTCTGTTTTTGGTGATTTAATGTCTTTGTATTGGAACATACATGCAATTAAAAAACGGCTTTTGTAACTAATAGTTTAGTTCTAAAAACATCATCGACATAAATATGCAGATACATATATGTTTAAAATATTATCTCCGTTTGCATCTCGGACTCGTGTCACGCTCCAATACTCATTTTCACAGTTTTAAACTCACACTATGGCCACGAGCACGACAATGGTGTAAACACCTGTTGACTGACGCGTCTGGCAATCTGCTGGTGTTCGGAATACCGGTTTGAATACAAAGGAAATGTCTTTTTTCGCACATTAGAAAACAAGACTGGGAGACATCAGAGAAACACCTCTTGCCCCGCGCCCATCACTCCGACACCTCCTAGTTTTTCCCCATTTCCAGATTTCAGCTACTATGTTTTTTTTTTCTTCTGTACGAATTAATTTTGTGAACTAATTAAGAAAATCTTGAAAGAAAATCTTCGTGCGAAGCGAGAATATGTTATACTGGAGTAGAAGTCCAATTTCTCACAGTGTGGTGAGCTGTCGGGCTCGGATAATAATAATAGCACAAAGGCCACTATATTTTATTTCGAAATGCCAGTTTTTGTTGAAGGAAATCAGCGAATTGACATTTTGACAACCATTATATCTTAGCTGAGCATGTCAGAGTGAATATGCTCTAATTGTTTTGTTACACTCCACTATTTTTAATTTGTGGCAAATACAAAAGTCGCTGGAAGACTACTGCTGGCTCAAACTGTCCAAACTGTGGTCCCGCTCTGCGGTCTGCGGTAAACTTGCGGGTCAGGTCGGGTGTCGTGTCGGGTGTGCGTGTATCTGTATCTTTTTTGTATTATTTCAATTAAAAGTCACCTACCGTACTGGAGCTTAGGACTTCTTTTTATACCTAAGTACGCCCAATAAATGCAGAAGCGACATTAATATGACATTATTTCAGATCCCAGAGGCAAAATGTGTTCCTCTATATTGGCTGCTCTGTGATAGTTGCGCTGTGACCGCTGTGCTTCCGATCTCTTTAGACACCTGAGTCTGAGTGTGTTTTCGAACATCATTGTAATGCGGTACAGTCGTATTACCACAGAATTGTCTGATGTCTACTTTAAAACCAGTCTGTTTTTCACTTAACATGATCAATTCTGAATATTTTTTTTTGCGGGGATTATACCATTGTTAGGCGTTGTTTATTTATTTATCAATAAATGTTAAATAATAATTGTTAACGTGTACGATGATCCAAACGAGTAATTACTTGACGATTTCTATTTTAATAACGGCCACCGCGGTGACTTGTCCAGGCAGTGCAGGGCCTGACCCTCTGAATTTCCCCTGAGAATAAAATGCGAAAGTAAACGATCCCTTCATTTCAAGACAGCTTCTCGCTCCTTCGCGTTGCAAGGATGCAAAGCAGAGAAAATACAACCGCAGCCCCTGTGATTGAGCAGAGCTCGGGCGGGCCCAGCGAGTCGAGCTGCTGGCGAACAGACTCGGAACCGAGCAAGCCCGCGGAAGACGGCGCGACGCCTTTTGAAGTTTACCCAAAGTTACGTCGTACTTGAAATGTAACACAGCCTCTTATTCTAAATGTTAGGATACTTGTTTCGGCAGACTTGAGTTTATGAGCATGCGTGTAACTAAAGCGTGGTTATATTTTTAGTCCACTGGCGCCTTTTTAAGCCTTTGTCCTAAATTTACGCTGCAGGCAGGAAAAATAAAAAAAACAACAACTTTTAAATACACAGAGGAACCACGCCCTTGTGTATCCCAACGGATAAAACCGTATTCCTAACATATTATTTTTATTTGTATAGCATATAACACTCTTTAAGACACAATATATAATTTTGATATACTGTAATCAGCATCGCCATAATGAAGTCCTGTCGGTAACCCCGGTCACAGGGTAACGTGCTCCCCAACCTCCTAGCATCCGGCTTCGTTTACAGATTAGCCTATACCTGCCGCACGAAATCCAACACTTGAAAAACTAAAGCACGTAAACTAAAGCTGAAATAAAGAAAATATGAACGCGATCTGTGTACGGCTAATGTCTGTATAATCCTGTACGCAGCCTGTAGCCTCAATACTGTAATTCTGCACTGATTCCTGGCCTGTAACCCTTTCATTGCACAGCGAAGGCAACATATCGAAGTGCTGCTGTTTTACACATTTTTTTTCAACATATAGAGAGATTTATTCTGCACAGAAAGAGAAATCCACTTAAGAGCTTTTCTTACCCGAGCCTGGAGCGTCCCACATCTTTGTGAGAATTCGAAAGTGAAACTTAAACGTAATACTTTTATTTTCGGATCATATCAATGCGATAGCGGTATATATATGCACATTAAAAAAAGGGTCGCGGTAGTTCTTACACGTGCAACTCCCCCTTTCTGTGCACAGTATTAAAAACCTCGGTAAACAGATTTTTCGACAACAGAATTTAATTACGACACTGGCAGTTGTGGAGTTCCTAACATTTAAAGAAACACACAAAAAATACAACTTTTCTATCAAACGTGTTCAGAGTATTAAATTTACACGCAGGTACGTGGTCTCTCTCCAAAGGAAGGTGTATGAAAATGGATCTCATCTCTCCTGAGAGGGGACGCCTCTGAGCAAAGCCAGGCGGCTGCTGTGCGTGGCGCTGGTGGACCAGTAGGAGGCGCTGTGCCCACTGGACTCGAATGTGTAAACTAATGTCTCAGTACAGTTACCTGTGGCACTGTACTGTAGGAGGTGTTGTACTGGATGACATGTGGGTTATTTGCCTCAGTGTCCTGGTTAAATTCTGCTCTGGGATTCCTGCAGTCTCCTTGGAATTCCGAAAGACTCCTTCAACTTCCGATTCGCCATTTCAGCTTTCAGCTCAGAACTCCAGCTCTGGGAAACCCCCCTCTCCTGGCCTGTGTGCAGGGGGGCTGCTGTGTGTCACCCCAGGGGGAGGGGGGGGGGTATGAAGAGGGTCCCCACCTCTGTGTTAAGTACTCTGACATCCCCTGGTGTGAAGGGCGCTATATAAATGCACAAGAATGACCATCATCGACAGGCAAACGGAGAGACCCTACACCTCCATTGGTGGTGGAGAGGAGTCCCCATTACCTGTAAAGCGCTTTGAGTGGAGTGTCCAGAAAAGCGCTATATAAGTGTAAGCAATTATTATTATTATTATTATTACTGATGGAAATGAAGATTGTGGAACTGACAATGGCTGAAACACAGAAGCAGTACTGAAAGAAATGAAGAGTCTGAAGATAAGATAAGATCACTTTATTGGCCATATACAATTTCTTGTATTAGGAATTTTTTTCGCATACCCCAGCCTGCTCTCCATGAGACACACAGACAGGGAGAGAGAAGCTGGGGGTCAGAGCGCAGGGTCGGGCATTTATACGGTGAGGAGCAAAAGACACAGAGTTAGTACAGACACGAAAGGAAACAGCCCTTTTGGTACTTCGCTTAGTGTGCATGAATTCTTCTGTCTATTCACTTCCTTGAGACGCAGTGGCATGGAGTGCCCAGTCCAGAAAAATACTGGTGTAACAGGTTACAGGGCTGACATTCAAACGACTTTGCCGTTACGTAAGCTGTCCGGGTCGGGTCTCGACAGCAGGAGTTTCAGAAACACACGCGTGGGAGCTGGTAACACACTCCACTGGGACCCTTTAAGGCGAAGCAGCACATGTCGAATGTGAAGGGTCACTGGGCTCGCGCTGGCCTGCGGTTTTTGTATGGAACAAAACAAAAACCAAGCTTGACACATGTGATCACCACCTGTGCCAGTGAGGTCTGTATTACTCAATGGCGCCTCTGAGGCTATAACTGGCAGAGCTGTGGCAGCTGGTATTCCCCTGGCACCAAACCTGCGGTAGAGAGGGGCGATAAACTGAAGCACAGAGCAAAGATCGACAAGCTCAGACTGTATCTTCACTTGAGATTTATTGATCCCTGGACTAATATACTTCAGGTATGTCTGGGGTGGTGCTGTCCCTTGTTGTTAATAATTGTGCGTGATCACTAAGGCTGGTGGTGATCTTGTTCTTCAGGTAGGAAAGGAATCCTGTGCTGCTTGACACTGGCATTCAGGCTGTACCTGTCATGCCTACTTATTTACCAGGACGCCAGCAGAGTTCTTTGGCTATGTAAATGTCACAAACACCCCTGTTTGTTGAAACAAAAACAGAAACCAAGCTGGTAAGACACTAAGCCTGGCTCCAACAGCTGCTCTGGCCTGGCAAAGCTTAAGTGTCTCCCAGATCTACACCCTCTGCTGGTCACACTCGCACACTGCTGCAGGCTCCTGCCTCCTGCGCAAGTGAGGAAAACGAAAGTCCACTTCAGAGGCCCAGCACAGCCTGCTTTGCATCTTTCGCTAACAGGGAAGTTTCGAGATGGGCTCCGGAGCGAAGGGGATTTCTTCACAGAATGTGGCAGCATTTGGAAAACTTAGGGGATTTCCTGACAGTTGTGAGTTTTAATTTAACACAAATTAGAGAGCTAGAGAGCTGTCAGGCGCAGCAGACAGCTGTACCCTCAGGAATTTCAGTGGCACTGCAGCAGTTCCGGGTCGGCCTGAGCCGTGCACAGAGATCAGAGTGGGTCAGCTGCCTTCAGAGCCGCCTGTCTACCCTCCTCCCACACCTGCTGCGCGAAAAACCTCCGGATTTCAGTCATTGTAATAATCGTCATTTTAGTAATCGAGAAAGTCACAGCAGAATAAATTGACATCATAAAACATAATTAGAAAATCAGACATCTTTTAATAAGCAGAAAACACAAACAATGCCTGTTGTGACAATGTACATGTGCAGTCCAGCCTGTTAACCTGAAGCTCAGCTGTGAAGTCCCAGTGGTACAAAATCACGTCTGGCGAGGTAGAGGAGCTTGTCCCTATAAAGTCCTTTGGAGAAATTCAACCAGCAGATGGTGAGGGAAGCCAAAGTCCAGCTGCACGATGACATACCCCTGCAGAGAGAGCAGGAGAGACCTCATCGTCTTTCCACAGCCCCGTGAGGACCTCGCCCCCCAGAGGCTACTCTCTCCCGGCACCCCATTTACCTGCTGCGATACAACCTCAGGATCGATGAGCTCGAACAAGCTCAGTCCATGACTGTCCATCAGTGCCGTGAGCCCGGGTTCAAGATCTGGGACAGGAGAGTAAGATGTCATTCATGCAGGCCAGTGTGTGTCTGGTGATGCACAGGATTTGACTGCAACACCTTCAAGGCAGCTTTTCTCACATTGAAATTAAATAATGGTTGAAGATGAAAAAATAATCACTTCTAGGTAGCTCTGTATAATTAAGTCATTCCTGTTAGCTCTGTTTTGGGGAGCAGAGGTGGCTGTTAACCAGACTGATACAGTCACTCTCACTGATACTGCATGACTCTCTATTCATGTTTTTGTATTATTGTTATTTTTATATTAAGTACTTTTTTCTTGAGCACTACCAGGAAATGTATACTTACCTTTTGCACCATTTTTTGCCTAGTCTATATTCTTATGGCATCTGTGATCAGCCCTGACCACCAGTCACATGGTGTTATTGAGCAGGATATTTTTAGCTTTTGGGCAGCATGGTAGTTAACATTGCTGTGGGTTTCCTCTGGGTGCTCTAGTTTCCTCCCACAGTCCAAAGACATACTTGTAGTTTAATTGGCTCGAGGGGTGTGTTTGTGTGTGTGTGTGTGCACCCTGTGATGGACTAACGTCCCATCCAGGGAGTATCCTGGCTTGTGCCCGTTGCTTGCTGGGATAGGCTCCAGCTCCTCTGCAACCTTAACCTTGAAGACTCTCTCAGGAAATGGATGGACGCATTAGCTATGGATTGGTGAAAAAGCTCTCGCAAAAGTGAATCCCAAATGCACTGGTAAACAGAGGATACAGTTGTCTATCACTGCTGCTTTTAAAAATCCCCACAAAGACTGGTAGACGACAGCAGCCTTTAAATAATTGGGGGGAAATCTGATATTTCTAGGCAAGCGTAGAATTCTCCTCCACAATTTCAAGTGCTCTAACAGCAAAGTTTAAGAGAAGGGACTGAACTGGCACAGTGGTAAAGAGAGACTTACAAGACACCACTTTGGGCACACCGATCTTCTCCACTACCTCCTTGAGGAAATCCACATCTGAGACCTCCTTCTAAAGTGAAGCATTCACAGACGTTACACACAGTCTTGTCAACATAGCTGAGCGACCCCCCCAGTGAGGAGCTCTCTCTGCGACACACATACAGTTCAAAACTCACCAGGTCGTTTCCCACCCAGGTGGAAGCTTTTAGGATGGAAACCCTTTGAAAGACAAGTTACAGTGTGATTAGACTCCTGGTTCACATCGGTGGGCCCCTCTCTCCCAGAGCACTGCAGAGTGCTGAGGGACAGTCAGGACAGGCAGTTCCTCTGTGCTGCTGCTAGTACAATCTGCACTGCTTCTCACTTACTGTGAAGGTTTGGCATCCAAGAACAGCTTCTTATCAGCATAAGATGCTCGGACGACGACCTCCACCTCCTGAGGAGCAAGGAAAACACTACTGTGACAAATAAACAGATTGTGATTCACAACTGTATTCACAACACAGAACATGTGCAATTAGTATTAATGTTAAAATTAGAATGATAAAATTGCTTGTACTGAAATGAACAGATTGTCCACTTTTCACTATCTGGTGACGAGACAATTTTATTCTGACGCTCAGCTATCAGTTGATCGGCTCCAGTCTAATATCTGCTATCTGGACAGCAGTGGCTGGGACACACCTGCCTCTGAGCTGCCACCCAGCTGCGTCGTGATTTGAAGCCTTCTCAAACCCTGAAATTATCCTCCGCCTCGCACTCCAACCCTCTCACTTTCCCTCAAACGCTCCACCAGAAAGCAACAAATCCAATCCGCAACAGAAAACTCCAAGCCCCTGGTTGGCATCTTATAGCATTTCACCCCTCCTGCTGCTTTCTGCTGTGAGGACGGACATCAGCCGTGCCCGAGCGGAGCTGACCGTTTCGAAGTGCAGGCCGAGATCGTGGCCGGCGGAGACACCCTTCAGCTCCACGGCGGACACGCTCCGCACGAAGGTGCCCTGGGGTGTGGTCCACAGCTGAGGATCAGACAGGCTCCACACCTTGGCCTCCGGGCTCTCGGAGGACAGCAGCTGGGGACACAGGGAGCGAAGGACAGGAGGCTCTGTCAGCAGCGCTACTGGGGTCATGAGCAACACAGCCGTGCCCAGAGGGAGAGGCCAGTGACCTGCCCCTGTCCTGCTGGGTCACTCCTCTCACTCGCTGGGGGTGCAATCAGATGAGCGAGCATCACCCCACTTCCTCTCGGGCTCTGCTGGTCAGCTGAGAGGGGAATCTGGCCGCAAACATTGAACCCTTTCAACAGAAAACTCTGTGTATTTATTTGCATGAGGTCTCCATGAAGATCATACACTTCTGTTCTATGATGGGCACGGATTGGGGAAAAGTGTTAAAGAAACAGGAAGGCAGTTAAGGCACACAGTTAGAGGGACAGTTGAACTGTGGAAAGTAAATATTGACCACATCTCTGGTTCCAAGCCAATTCAAGTCAAATACAAACTGTCTGGAGGCCAAAGAACAGGTTTAACCACAAAAAACTTTATCAGAATCTTGCACAAGGCATGTAAGCAGCCGTCATTCACTTTCTCTCTCTCTCCTTCCCCGATAAGAAAGACACTGTTGCGTTTGTATCTGCATCTAACATGCAGACTGACTGCTACTATTACAGGGAAAACAACTGCTCCCCTGTCACCATGGCAACTGGCCCTCGGCCTGCGTGGCCCCACAGCGCTCATACCTGGCTCATGAAGTCTGGGGTGGCCGCCATGAGGTTTGTGCGGAAAAGTCCCTGAAAGAGAAATATTCTGTCAGCCAACACGAGTGTTAATTGAGTGACACAGTTTCGACAGCGAAGCCGTCCTGTGTAGCGATGTGGTGTGGTCTAGCAGTGCAGGCGCAGTGGAGCGGTGGTGTTAGTGTGACAGCAAAGTGGGACGAGTCGGGGTCTTTCCACGACTGTTTGTTTTCCAAGTGTACAGAGAGCGGACCTGGAGCTCCTCGCCGGCGATGTGGCGCACGAAGCGGCCGTCCCGGTGGGCGGCCGACACCAGCGGGCCCAGCACCTGGTCCGAGATCCAGAAGTACAGCATGCGGGACTCGGTGAGCAGCGCCGGGGAGAAGGCCGAGTCGCTGATGCGGGCCGTGGCGTTCCCCAGCCTGGCCAGCCCCTGGGCGGGACGAGGGAGGGGGTCAGAGACTCGGGAGCCACAGAGTGTCACGCCTGACGTCCCTCCCTAGAGGGCGCTCCACTGCTCCTGCTCCAGTGTTCCCGTCACTGTTGCTAAGCTCCCCAGGTGTACCTTCTTAGGTGTCTTATTTAAAGACCAGCTCCTCCAGTCCTCGGGGCTCAACATTAGGGTAAGGATGTCACGAGGCCCGCCTGGCACCAGGAAACCCCACATCGGTCTCCTGAGGGCACAGGCCTCTTCTCCGACACCTCCCGCTTCCTGAGCCCGGGGTCTGGAGGATCTCGCCTCGTCACCCTTGGACCTCCATGTTTAACCTTGTCGCGTCCCAGGATGGCTTACTCGCCGCTGGACTCCCGGACTGGGCCCTGACCTGCCTTTGGACCTGTTTGGATTTGGATGCCGTTCTTTGTCTTTTGTCTCCCCAGTCTTAGGGACTGTCACTATTATTTTCTGCACTATTAAACCCCTGTGTGTTCCCTTTCACCACACCTCCTGTTTTCTCCAGCTCTTACCGCAACGCATACGGTCTACTGCAAGACCTGATACGGATCTCAGTCTGTGGTCGTAACACCGAGGGCGACTTCACTGAGAGCACAGAGGGTGGGAACAGGCAGGAAGACGCTACCCAACACAAGACGGGCAGGCAGCATGGGGAGTGATGTGGACTTCCTTACTGCCTTGCTAGGTGAAGGTGAAAGGAGTGCTGAGCGCTCTGCGTACCTTGTGGTGAGACTCGATGTAGCTGGCTTTCAGCACAGGCGAGGCGGTGATGGAAATGTCCACCCCGATGTCCCCGTCGCTTAGGAAGAGCTCTGGAGAGTGCAGCAGAGCCCCGTCAGTCAGTGTGGGACACCTGACATCGGCGCAGCCCCCCCTCCGCCCTCCTCGGCCCCCTCGGGTCAGGGGGTCCTAACACCTGCCCTGATCCTGGTCCCGGTGCTGGTGCTGGTTCTGGTCCTGCAGGGCTTGCCCCGCGCAGGGGAACGGGTCGAGACCCCTGAGCAGGATGCCAGACCCATGACAGAGTCCTGGTGTGATTCTGACAATTCTGCCTCGCTGAGCCTGCCTCTGGGACAGCCGAGAGCAGTGGGATTCATCCCAGGCAGAGGCAGGGCTGGACTGTGGACACAGCGGCTCCAGGCTCAGCACAGCCCGTATTCGGAAAAGCCCAGGCTGCCCTGGTTCAATATTGTGAGGAGACCGAATACATTTAAAACCCTGCACACATTCCCCTCTGAAAATGCCCAAATCTTGTCCAAGTACCCAGCCTGCAACGGAAAGGGATACCTGCACGTTCCTGGATAAACCCAGCCAGAATATTCGCCAAGTTGTTAATTTCTTTGCAAATCTGAAAAACAAAATGCCATTTGTTAGGGCACATTTGACAGGCGGCTGCTGTTGGCTGTGGTCTCCGTCCTTCGCTGGAGGCGGGGACTTGATCTTCCTGCACAGCTGTTTCTGGGGTCTGCAGTTGCAGTTCAGCACGAAACAGCAGAGGGCAGTGTTGGGCCACTGCTGCCGCAGTTTCTCAGTTTCCAAACGGGCAAGGAGCACAGAGAGCCTCAGAAAGCTCCAGAATTTCCATGGAAAGTTCTCACCTGACTCTTGATGACGAGTTTAACGGTAAAGGACACAAAATCTGTAAACAACTTCTTAATCCATCCTGGCCTACAGAACAAAAACAAAAATTCTATTAGAAAGGTTAGCAATGAGAAGGGGTCCTTCAGCACATGCAGCCAGTTAACCAGTTTCCTCAGGGTGAAAGGATTACAGGGGTGAGGTGCTGTTTATCTGTGACTCACGCTCTCGTAGCATGACCGTCCCTCGGACCTGAATACCTGAACAGCTGGGGT